ACCCTTAAATTCTGTGATTCTATTTGTGTTGGAGCTTCCACAGTCCTTGTAGAATATTATTAGCTTGAGTAAACTGCTCTTATAGTTCAAGCACATGTTACTTCAGACACATGGATTCTTCATGTGGGTGAAGATGTAGTAGGATGTGTTAAGGATTTTCATTTTCTAAATTGAGTTTATTATTATTCTTAGGTCATCCTTGGCAAGTACACCTGGCTTTCATATGAAGATGTATACATTAAAGCTGTTAATTTCGGAAATGGCTTAGCAGTATTGGGTCAGCAACCAAAGACTAACATTGCAATCTTCTGTGAGACCAGAGCTGAGTGGATGATTGCAGCACAGGCCTGTTTTATGTGCAACTACCAGCGTAAGTATGCCTGTTCCCTGAAGTTACGTCTTTTCATCTTACAGCCTGAAAATGAAACTTTTTCTTACTTCACTTTACACACTAAGAAAACTTTTATAGATTTCATATAGAACATTAAAATTTACAAATTAAAAAATACTGCATAAGGCAAAGACTTGTGCAGTTTGTCGTGTTTTGCTTTAGTGAATAGAGAGACCTGTATCTGTTTGCAGATGGAGTATGGTTTTGGTCACTCTAGTTTTCTCAATGAATTAATGAGATGTTTATTTACTTTTATTCTCAAATCAGTACAGATTCCCAAGTTCTTAAAAACAAACAAACAAAATTCACACATGAATTCATTGACTCTGTATCAGGAGTTGGCATCAAAGCTTCATCTGTGCCTGTAGGTTTTGTTTTAACTGGATATTTTGTCAGTTCTTCAATTTTGATTTTGGTTAGGCCTATTTTTCTTTGGTGAAACTTATTGGATGCTGATCTTGACTTGCTATGGTTGTTTAAATGTCTGTTTCAACATCACTCCTTAATATGTCATTCACCTAACTGTAAGCCCAGCCTGGCTGGGTTCTGTGGTGCTCTCAGAGGGACATATCCCCCTGTCCCACAGGGCATGCTAGAAACTGCTGTTCCTCACAGGCTTTGGCCTCTTCCCTCGCATACCACGTTTACCCTCCTTCAATAAGAGATGGGCCAGATGTGCAGAAATTCCTGATTTGCTACCTGCATCCACTAAAGATGTCTATCAGTTAGAACTTTTCCAGATTTTGGAAGCAAACCTTGCAAGAAGGCTATATCTTAAATGGTCCCTCTTTGCCCTGAGCATGAGTCTGTTTCAGTTTGAGAAACCATATGTTGATGAGTATGTAATCCATAGGACAAAGTTAGTTCCCAGCACTCAGTGGTTGGTATTGTCTCTAATACTGTTTAATTTCTTTATTGAAGGCCTGGATGATGGGGCAGGGTGCAAATACAGGAGGTCACAGCTGGTAGCATGTTGGAGGGAGCAGCCAGTACACTCGAGGACAGGGCTGATGTGCAGGGGGAGCCTGTCAGCTGGAAAAGTGTGTTGTCCAGAACCTCATATTGTTCAGTGAAGGCACTTAAAATTTCCTCTGTGTGCTGAAATATCTTGTGCACTGGTATAGGATGAGGGAAAACTGGACAGAGAGCAGCTCTGTAGAAAAGGGACTTGAGGGTTCTGGTGAGCAATGAGTCAACCAGGATTATGCTGTGCCACCTTGCAGTGGACGCCAACAGCATCCTGGGTGGTGGTAGCAGGAGTGTAACAGGTCAGTCCAGGGAAGTGATCCTTCTTTTCTTAGAGAAGATGTGTGTAAAACCACATCTGGAGTGGTTTCTGCTTTGGGGCTTCCTAGTAAGAAAAAAAGACACTGACATACTGGCCCAAGTCCAGTGGAGGGCTGCCAAGATGCTGAAAGGGTTTGACAATGTGACATATTAGGAGAGGCTGATAGAGCAGGGTCTGTTCAGCATTAAGATGAGCGAGTTGAAGATCTTGTTGCTGCCTAAAATTATCCAATGGGAGCATACAGAGGAGATGAAGCCAGATTCTGCTCCAAGGTGTGTGTTGGTAAGATTGGTTCAGTGATAGGAAAATTTGATTAGATATTAGGGCAAACCTCTTCATTGTGAGGGTGGTTCAATGTCAGAACAGGAATGGTTGTGAGATCTCCATCCGTGGGGATACATAAAAGCCAGGCTGGCCATGGCTCTGAGCACTCTGCTGTAATGAATGGTGCTGTGCAGGTGGTTTTCCCAGGTACCTTTCAGCCTAAATTCAGTGACCTTTTTGGTCCTTTCCTCAGGGAGTGAGTGCTGCTGGCCTGCCTACCAGAGCAGAGACCTGCACTGGCCATTCTCAGATAAGATGCCTGTGTTGCTTTGAAACTACACATCTTGTAACACAGAGTGCCAGTTCCCTTTTATCACTTTTGAGATCTGTCAGATTCCTAGTGACTATCCTGGGAATAAAATGTAAAGGCTTGCATCATTTTTTTTCCTTTGGAAGTGAAGTGCACTTAGAAATCCTAGGAAGATTTCGTAATTCTGGGGGTGGAGGGGAAGTCTGCAGTGGTGGATGGATGTCGTGTGAAGAATGGTATGTGTGTGCTTTGGGATTGTTGGATTAGTGTTTCAAAGCCCCTGGTGGCGACGTGCTCCAGCACACTGTCTGACGTGGTGTTCAGCATCTGAGCTGTATGTCATCCTATGTGAACTTGGCTGACTCGTGTGTTGGCAGAGGATGAGAGTGTTGTGCAGCCTTCATGGTCAGTTTGCTGAATGAATTAGAACATGCAGATGATGTTGAAGTAGTAGTGTGACATGGCTAAATGACTTACGTTAGCATTTTTTGGTTTGTGGGTTTGACACCAGCTAACTCCTGTGGTAGTGTTGTGACTGTCTTTCCAAGTGGGAATTGGATGAAACCTGGTGGTGTGGGCCCAGAACTCATGTCGAAGAGCAAGTTCATCTGCTTTATTTCTGTTGGAGAAAATGCCTTTTGCACTACAGAATTAAATTTGGGAAAGTAATTTTTGTTACAGATTACTTGCACAAACAAGTGATTTTTTTTAATTACAAATACTTGCTTGATTTTTACATGTTACTTGATTGAAGCTGAGCCTTGTGTTTGAGGAGGTAGAGTGAGATTGCTAGTTCAGAAATGGAAAACAGAAGTGCTAACATGAAAACAGATGTTCTCCTGAAGTATTTCCTCTTCATCTGTATGAACAGTTCTTCACCAGTGTAGGCAGATAAAACACCTGAGCGTATAACCAAACAATGAGGTAGGAGAGGTTAGGTTTCATTTTTCAATTATACCTTTCTAAAGCTTGAGCAGAAGTGGATTTGTCAGAACTGATTTGGCTGAAGTCTTCAAAGATATGTTTTGCTTTTCATTTTTGCTGTATGATGGATGCTGAAATACTTAGTTTAGCTTTTGAGTTACATTGAAATAAATTGCAAAAGTTCTATTTGTTCCTTTAGGGAAAGGCTTTGTCCTTGCATAGGAGCTGGCAAATGTAGTGAGGTTTTATTTTTGTCAAGACTTATCGAGCAGCATTCCTAGCAGGTCAGATAACAAAGACTCACTTGTACTACTGCATGCATAAAGGTGTACACAAGATAATCCTTTCTCAGTATGTTTTCAAGAGGGCGAGGAGAGGAGAAAAAATTGACTAAAACTTTCAGATTGGTCTGAAAAAGTTTTAGGTGCCACTGTGGAGAAGTGACAATTTCACAGATGAGAGGCATTGCTCAGTTTTATTCTCTCCATGACATCACTGCACCATCAAATACATGGTATCTCTCTCTGTGGCTCTGTCATACAGCTCTAAGATGTCTTAATGTACTTATTTGCAGATGAGTAGTCAAGTACATAGATGGTTGTTTCAGAGATGATCCTTTTCCTTCTGGGCGGTGTGTCGGGTCGGCTCTGCCTGTTGGCTCGGGGAAGCTGAATTTCTGCTCAGTGTTTATATAACAGGGGTCACTGCAGTAAGTAGAGAGAGCTCGTGGGAACTAGTAGAGCCACTCTTCTGGACTTTGCTCCCACCAAATTAAAGAAAACACAGTGCATGTGCGTTTGCCCTGCAACAGTTCTGAACTATGATGGACTGTTTTAACAAGGAAAAAATAAGTAGAGGTCAACTATTTACTTTTTTGTGTAAGAAAACTGCTCTTGACTTCTTCCTTGGTATGATGCACTGGGATAGTAACTCCCTGGATTTCAAATCTTAGAATACAACAGAACTTCATTTAACTTTAATTTTTTTTATCTTTGCTGCAGTGAACATAATAGCGCTACAGTCCTAATGTGCAGTAGGGTGTCTTGTTTTCATAATTATGTTATTTAAATATTCAGCTAAGTACAGGCTAAAATACAAAAGAGACTCAGATACCTGATGTGACAAAGCTTCCAGCACAGATGTTGTAATTATTGATTGTGTTAATTGACTTGCAGCTTCTTTTGAGACGCCTCGGTTCAACATTCTCCTTGGAATCATAGAATCAACTGGGTTGGAAAAGACCTCCAAGATCTTTAGACTAGACTAAATGTGGCACTAAGTGCCACATCCAGTCTCACCGTGAAAGCCTCCAGGGACAGTGAATCCATCACCTCCCTGGGCAGCACATTCCAATGCCTCATTGGAATCTGTAAAAATCTCTTCCTAATATCCAACTTCAACCTCCCCTGGCAGAGCTTGAGTCTGTGCCCTCTTGTCCTGCTGCTGGTTGCCTGGGAGAAGAGACCAACCCCCACCTGACTCCAACCTCCTGTCAGGGAGTTGCAGAGGGTGATAAGGTCTCCCCTGAACCTCCTCTTCTCCAGGCTGAACACCCCCAGCTCCCTCAGCCTCTCCTCATAAGAAAACAGGGAATGATTATATTCTTGAGAGCAATACCTTTCTTCCTTTCTGAGCCCTGCCTTTTTCTTCCCCAGTCTCTTTTGATCTCTTCTCATTCAGTTCCCATAAAAATGGCAGGAAATTAAATATGTTTTTAGAGTTGTTAATGTGAAATAATTGTTTGACACTCTGTCACTAATGAGCTGTCCTTAAATACAGGAAACAATATTTCTCATAGTCAATTTTGTAAATGTTTTCTTTCCTTGCTGTTCTGTGTGATCCTCATGATGTCAGTTCAATGTGTCATGATTGTGGTGATTATTACATTGTTTTAAATAGATGGCAGAGTAGGATAGTCACAGATTTATTACCAAGTCTGAGGATTCTTCTGCTGATGACATATCTTGCCATGTTGTGATAACTTTTTATTAGCAGTCAATCATAAACAGTTAGTAACAGTGTGTGTGAGTTCTGAAAAGAGAAGACACATGAATGAAAGCTGTTTCTTTCCTGAGTGCAAAGCAATGTTACACAGTGATGAAACTGAGAACATTTGACTGCTTTTCACATGGTAAAAGCAATGAAAGTATGAGAGTTGCTCTAGGTGAATTGCATAAAGTGCTGTGATTTTGGTAAACCATCACATAGACAACAGTTGTTCTCTATTCATTCTGGGAGTAACTGGAAACCATGCTGGGTTTAAATCCATGTTATAGGAGCTTAAGTACACAACTCTACCACCTTTGAGTTGACAGATATTTTTCCTGTGTTGCCTGACTTCAAATAGGTTCATCTCAGTTCTTTATTGTAACAAACTATACTTTAAAATGTGGCATAGATTCACCTTTTCTCTCCCATTTTGTGTTTCAGTTGTTACCCTGTATGCTACCCTGGGAGGCCCAGCAATAGTGCATGGGCTAAACGAAACGGAGGTGACCACCATCATTACTAGCAAAGAATTGATGCAAACAAAATTGAAGGTCAGAAAACTGTTCTTAATCTATCTCTTTCCTGTGTGTCTGTTCATTACTGCTAAATGGCCTGGTTCCATTGTTCAGAACAGTGAGTTACTGCCTTTCTATAAGGCAGACACTTTTGGAAGAAGATTTATGCATCTGTCTTCATGTACAGATAAAGTGATAGTTTGCTTTCAGTGGGTTTTAAGGCTCCTCAGTGACTTTGGAGAATAGGATGAGCAATTTGCAGTATTGAAGAGCTGCAAGTGCTGCCTGGAACACCTTTACAAGAAACTGCCATGGTTTCTGGGTGGATTTAGCACCTATACATTTAACAATGGGAAGAATAGAAAGAAGAACTATATGCAGTCATCCTCCTGGCTTATTGTTGGATGTTTTCCCAGCAGAGAATGGCTTTTAAATCTAAAGGCAGGTGTTTGAAGACTTAGAGCTGGTTTTCTGTGTGTGAGGAAAGCTTACTGAACATTAAAACAGTCAGAAGACTCTTTTGACTTGGTTCTTCCATCTGGGTCAGTGGAACAACTATAATCTGCATGAGTTTCACCATTATGTGTTTTGGGGGAACTGTACCTTTCACATAAAGGAGTTGTTTTAATGAAAAACTGCTGTTGTTGACCTTTGAGTGAGAATTTCCCAACCTTTTGCTAAATGCAATAAATTTATTTTTATATACAATGCACATTTATTTCAGAGTGCAGTAAGAGACTGAATTTGTTCTGCTAGAGGTGATGATCATCTCTTCTTCCACTAAACACTGATCAATGTTTTAGAACTCTCATTTTGCTTGACATGCTGGACTAGTGCTTAACTAATAATTTTCTGTATTTTTTGCAAGCTGTTGCTTATTTTAACTACCACAGTAACCAAGGAGCAGCCTAAGAATCCTTGTGAGCTCAGTATTGCCAGTTTCTCTCAGGGTTCTGTGGGAGTGGAAAGTCAGTTATCTCTACAAATCACTGCAGTCTTATTTGTGGGGTTTTCTTGAAATAAGGCCCAAATCAGTAAATGGTTGGAAAAGTTTTTGGATTTGTAAGTGGAAAGTTCAATCAATCCTGGAAATGTGGAAAGTTTTAAGCTTTGCAGCTATTTGAGCTCAACAAGTTTATCCCCTGATATTTAAAATTCTGACATATTTTATCAATGTTGAATCAGATACTTAATAATTAAATATTTAATCAACTGTGTAATCAATTCATCAATGCTTTTTAAAATGTGCACAGTAGATAATGTGGGGGGGTTTGGTTCTTGTTTGTTTTTCTTCTTGGTCTTATAAACCTCATGTTTGATTTCTGAACACATTTTCATTTCCACAGGAAATTGTTTCTCAAGTTCCACTGCTGCGACATATTATTACAGTGGATGGCAAACCAACAACGTGGTCAGAGTTTCCCAAGGGTGTCATTGTTCACACCATGGCATCTGTGCAAGCAATGGGGGCAAAGGCAGACACTGGTAGGTTCTTTTCTTTCGCTTTGGACCATCTTGTTGTCCTCTTTTGACCCTTGGGGAAATTGCAGATCTCAAAATTATGCAGTGATTAACCTCTTCTTATCTGCTTTTTCTTTGCACAAAATCTGTGGGATTTTTTGGTTTGGTTGTGGTTGGATTTTGGGGTGTAGGTGTTTTTGTTTTGTTTTCCAACAGAGTAAAATGCTGTTAATAAAAACTGTCTTCTCAACAATCAAGAGTCATATGTTCAAGGATAATTTTTAGGATAAGCATTTAGTCCAGAATAGAAACTTAGAAAGCATTCTTATGATCAGACATATGAAAACCAAGGTGATTCAGGGCACACAGAGAAAGTAATTGTGTGTTTTATAACGAAAGAAGTCAATAATTTGTTACCATTAAGTTTTATTAAATTCAGAAATAGCAAAATTGAAAACAGCCATTTGAATCTGAGAAAACTTGATCACTTTTTTCATTTCGGAAAGTATCAATCTCCTATGTAAATCCCGAAATCTAATCTAGGTAACGTTTTGAGAGCTAGAATTCAGAATGTCAGAAGGTGTTTTAACTATTAGCATAAGAAATTTTTATTCCTGGCTCTGAAGAGCTGCCAAACCTAGTATCTGACTGTGACATTATATTCAGTAGAAACCTAGTATCCGACTGTTACATTATATTCAGTAGTTGCTTTCTTCTCTTATACTTTGTGTTTTCAGGGTCTTTTAACTGCTGAAGGCACATGAATGTTGGATTGTGTTTGAGGGGTGGTTAATCCATCTGCCCTTGATGTTCAGGGGAATGACAGGTTTGCTCCCCACATCATGACCTCTCAGTTTCTTTAAAAGATAGTTTTCCCTTTTCGGTGTGTCAGTTTTATGTACTGTAAAAACTGCTTCAGACAACACCAACAGAAAAAAATTATGGCTGTAATTAATTAGCTCCTTGAGATTTGTTAATCTACTATGTAAAAAGGTGCCTAGTCCTTCTTTCTTCAGTCTTTTAAATATCTCATACTCTGCGCTACAATAAAGAAACATTATCTTTGTCAAGTTAACTATTCATAAACTGTTAAATACTCTCATGAATTGTTTATGGTCAAGCATGTTCAATTGATATTAAGCAGATGAGCTGTTGCTTGTGGGTTTTTTCTCCCTCTGTGTTATTCACCGTGCAGGATAGGCAGGATTCAGGGGGAAATGATTAAATATGCTTTCATGCTTCTCACTCAGTGTGTGCGTTTTGCCACCAGCATTGTGCATTATGCAGTTTTTCCTCTTGAGTAAACACAATTGGGTTTGTATGTTCTTGCTCTCGGTGCAAGTATTTAAAAAGCACTTTAATCCAATTAAAGCTGTTGAACTTGTTTGAAATATTTATAGAAATTGGACCTCACGTTGGCTCAGCAGTGCCTGGCTGCAGGTGCTGCGAGGCAGTGTGGTGTTCCCTGCCCAGGGAGCACGTGACGAAGGAGCTTTGCACAGGGGGATGGGCCCTGGGGCAGTGTGGAACCAGGACAATGAACCTTCCTGAGGCAGGGAATGCTCAGTGATGCTTCAGAGAAGCCAAAGCTCTGCCTGTTTTCCTCTCTGCTGCAAGAATAAGGGAAATACAATAGGAAAAGTGTTTTCATCATAGACTAGGAGAATTGCTCGAGGTATTGTTCAGCTAATACAGAGTTCCCACTCTTTGTGAAGGCACTTAAGCTTGACTGCGATCTTTTTAAGTGAAAGCAAAATCATGTGGTGCTGTATTGCAGTGACTGCTGAAATATGTCAGTATGTCAGGTCTGCCAGCCTCAGGTCGCTCTCCTCACATTGCGTGTTCTCTTCTTAACACACATTGCAGGGAGCAAACAGCCATCCAGGCCTGTGCCCTCAGATATCGCAGTGATCATGTACACAAGTGGATCCACAGGAATTCCCAAAGGAGTTATGATCTCCCATTGCAATATAATTGCTGGGATAACTGGAATGGCTGAGAGGATTCCAAATCTGGGGTAGGTACCATCTGTTACTTACCAGCAGATAAAGAAGTCATGCAGTTGCATGTAATTTTACATTAATTACTCTGTAAAATATTGTTTTACATTCCTGTGTCTGTGACACATCATAATATGCACTGATGCCTGAGCATCTTCCAGTACTGCACTGAATAACATGAGTACTTCATGTGCTGTTCGTTCCCTCATCTGTATGTGGGCAAGAATGGGACACAAAAGCCTGTGAGCCCACCTTGCACTAGAGTGGTTGAAAGCTTCCCTTAGCACTACTGCCCTTGGTTAGTGTTTAAATTACGTGATTTTTTCATGTTTGGTGCAGTTTTAAATTTGTCCACAGAGTTGCCTTTGCTTCCGTAACACACAGATAATTGTCTTCGGATGAGTAACCATCAAGCTTTGTTTGTGCTTTAAACCTACAGTACATAGCACATAACTTTTGAAACACAACCCATATCACATGGAATATGTTTTCAAGCCCAAAGGCATTTTTGCACTTTCCCTGGTTCTAGAATCATAGAGTCATAGAATTTAGGGGTTGGAATTGACCTTATAGATCATCTAGTCCCAGCCCCCTGCCCTGGGCAGAGACACCTCCTCACTAGATCAGGTTGCTCAAGGCTCATCCAGCCTGGCCTTGAACACTGCCAGGGTTGGGGCAGCCACAGCCTCCCTGGGCAACCTGTGCCAGTGTCTCACCACCCTTAGAGTAAAAAACTTTTTTCTCACATCCAACCTAGACTTTCTCCTCCGTCACTCTGAACCCATTACCCCTTGTCCTATCATTGCAGTTCCTAACACAGAGTCCCTCTCCAGCTCCTTGTAGCCCCTTCAGGTATTGAAAAGTTGCTCTGAGGTCTCCACACAACCTTCTCTTACCCAGGCTGAACAGCCCCAACTCCCTCAGCCTGTCCTCATAGGGAAATTTTGCATAGTGACTCATCTGAGGATTCTAGTGGTGCAACATAAATCTATCTTTTAAAAATTCTCTGCAGGGAGAAAGACATATACATTGGCTACTTGCCTCTTGCCCACGTTCTGGAGCTGAGTGCTGAACTTGTGTGTTTGTCTCACGGGTGCCGAATCGGTTACTCTTCACCTCAGACATTAGCTGACCAGGTATGTTGTAGATCTAAGTCCTTATTATTAAAAAAAAATTATATCAGATCTTTGTAATATTTCTTTTAAAATAGTACAACAAATTTTCTTCCCTACAATTCATACAACAGAGTGTTGGTGGTTGTGACTGATACTCTGGACTGGTTTTAAAATGATTGTTTTGAATGACCATAGAATCATAAAATCAACGAGGTTGGAAAAGACCTCAAAGAACATCAAGTCCAACCCTACAGTGGTCACTAGACCATGGCACTAAGTGCCACATCCAGTCTCATCTTAAAAACCTCCAGGGATGGTGAATCCACCACCTCCTTGGGCAGCACATTCCAATGCCTGAGCACTCTCTCCTTAAGAATATTTCTTTCTAATGTGTTATGTAATTTTGTTTCTGATGTTAAAAATCTCGAATGTATCTGCTAATAAACTTGTTCTTCACTTTAGTCCTCTAAAATAAAGAAAGGAAGCAAAGGTGATGTTACTACCCTTAAGCCAACCCTGATGGCAGCTGTGCCGGTAAGTAACTGATGGATAAGTAATTTTACTTGTTTTAAAAATGTAATTTAGCATTTAACTTTTAAGAACAAAATTAATACAATGACCATTTAAATAAAAAAAGCAGAGCCTTTGATGTTAAGCTAGCTTAAGATAATAATTTTGGTGGTTATTTATACATTGGAGATAAATATTCATCATATGAGTGTTGACATTTTTCAAAGTTTTAATATCTATAGGGATCAGATTTCCATTTTAATTAGTCACTTGTTGCTCATCCTAGTGAGGGAATGGAATAAAGACAGTTGGCAGCAAGCAGGTTGGGTTAACTCGTGCTCCTGCCCAGATGTTTGTTTTCCCCCTGTGAGCATCCTGCTACCTTTTAGCAAGTGAAGAGGAGACAACCTGGGACTGGGTTGTCACCTGAAATATACTTCACTTTCTATATCATATTTTCCTTTTGTTGTGCTAAATTTAGTGTTTCTGTTTCTTTGAGTTAAAGTTAATCTTTTTACATAACTAGGAAATTATGGATCGGATCTACAAAAACGTCATGAATAAAGTGAATGAAATGACCAGTTTCCAGCGGAATCTATTTATATTGGCCTACAACTACAAAATGGAACAGATTTCCAAAGGTTATACTACCCCACTCTGTGATAGGTAATGTTAACTTTAGTTTTAATGGCTCAAAAAAACTGCTTATCCAGGTCGTACCAGATGAGCAGTATCTGATTTTTTTTGTGCTTTCCTTCATTTTATTGTTGACACTTTGAACATAAACAAGCCTGTAATTAGGTGTAGATTGAAACAACAAATCAGTAGTTTTGTGTGATGGGTTTAAATATTTGCTGATGTAATTTAAGTCAGTGTCATTTAACTTGAAACTAATTGGAAATTTATGTTTATTACATTACTTTTATCAGGGCTTTAATAATGGATTTACACAACTCTTGGGTAAGACAAGAAGTAAATTCCCGTAGAAAACTGTAGGTTTCACATTTTCACAGAAGGGAGCCACGGAATATCTCAAGTGGGAAGGAACCTTAAGGATCATTGAGTCTTAATTCCCTACTTCAGTGGCACCAAAGGATAATATAATAGCAAAATTTATAGACTTAATTATTTTTTAGGAAAAAATCGCAGAACTTTATTATTAAAATCTGTGTTCTCAAAACATTTGACCTGTCTTTAAATTAGAATGGGGGAAACAAGCTTAGAAATCTGTGCCTGTGTGTTTGAAAACTTCAATCATAGAATCATAGAATTTAAGGGTTGGAATGGACCTTACAGATCATCTAGTATCCAACCCCTGCCCTGGGCAGGGACACCTCCTCACTAGATCAGGTTGCTCAAGGCTCATCCAGCCTGGCCTTGAACACTGCCAGGGTTGGGGCAGCCACAGCCTCCCTGGGCAACCTGTGCCAGTGTCTCACCACCCTTACAGTATAAAACCTTTTCCTCACATCTAACCTAGACTTTCTTTCCTTCACTTTGAACCCAATGTGCTCCTTCAGCATTTTCCTCGAATGACATAGAAGTGTATTGGAATATGATAGAAACTTTCAGTTCAGATACAAAAGTAGGTGCTATATGTGCTCTCATCTTTGCATTTCAGCCTTATTTTCCGCAAAGTCCGAATGCTGCTGGGTGGGAAAATCCGTGTCCTGCTGTGCGGAGGAGCTCCGCTCTCGGCAGCCACGCAGCGTTTCATGAACATCTGCTTCTGCTGCCCTGTGGGACAGGGCTACGGGCTTACCGAGTCAGCAGGAGCTGGAACCATCACGGAAGGTTGGTGCCAGTGCCTCCCTCTCTGTGCTGTGACCCTGTGCCACCTCTGCTGGTCTGTTCGTTTGGGCTGTGCCCCCAAGCATAACTGGGGAATCCTGGGAATCACTTGTAATCATGGATATATCCAGTGGGAAATACGTAATCCAGTGGGAGGACTGATTTTGGCACGTGCTCAAGTTGGTGAGCTACACAGGAAATGAATGTTCTCCATTGTGATGGAGCAAAGCATAATGGTATGAATGGGATCTTGGCATCGTTTGCTCTCAGCAGTTGAGCTGAAAAATGATGTCAGATTTTGGTGGGTATGTTGAGATGTTGGGAGAGCAGAAAATGGAATGCAAAAGTCTGCACCAGTTCTTAATTTCATATAAAGGAACCTAATAGCTTCAGTTGCCTTTCACAGAAAGGTTGGAAAAGACCTCAAAGGTCATTGAGTCCAATCCCACAGTGGTTACTAGACCATGGCACTAAGTGCCACATCCAGTCTCAGCTTCAAAACCTCCAGGGATGGTGAATCCACCACCTCCCTGGGCAGCATATTCCAATGCCTTTCTGTAACTAAGGTGTCTGTAAATAGAGCCATCTACTCTCTTGGCAGAATAAGAATTTTATCTCCATTGCCTCACTAAATCCATTGGTTTTCTTGGAAGTTCTATTCTCTGAATGAAAGTATCAAAATAAATAGCAGTTAATTTTCAGTAAATAAGATGCATGGCAACAAAAGATTTTCTTTTTTTTCTGATCAGTTTTGGTTAAATGTTTTTCTGAAAAATACTCTTTTTCAAATCCTAGTTTGGGACTACACTACAGGGAGAGTAGGAGCACCTTTGGTCTGTTGCGAAATCAAGTTGTTGAACTGGGAAGAAGGTGAGAATTCCTGTATATGGTTACATTGTTATGTATTCATAAGAACTGTGTTTTTCCATTGAGCTTTGCTCAGTAGTAGTCATTGGAAGACTATTCCTTGGCTATTTAGATTTTAAATGTTATTTTTACCTATAAAAGTTTGTTCTTGGGGAGAAGAAAGGTAAAATAAATTCCTCCATGGTTTCTATACCTGGAAATACCTAGACAGAGACTACCAATGCATGTGGCATTTTGACTAGGTGGTATTATGACTCTTTGGATATCCTCTTTGTTTTATTCCAGCCACTCTCTTTGTGTGTGCACATTGTGTAAATGGACACAGCTCTGTACCTCTTCCTGATTTAGATCAGTATTCATGCAGGTTGTGTATCCTGTGCCTTAGAGGTGCTGGATTCAGGAGGCTGCAGCTGAAGTGCATGCATGATACCTTCTGTTGCCATGAAGAAATTAAAAATGGTCTTCATTTTACTAATAGTAAAATCATTAAAAAATTGGCATAGGGAATAGAAACTTAATGGATGCTATGCAAAATGTGTTTAATAAAGTTTGAAAAGCATTTAGGTGATTTCTTTTCACTGTAGGCTTTTATATAGAGTAGAAATATATAATAAATAAGGGTGAAATGTGAAACCTTACAGGTTTTTTTCTTTCCTAAAATACGAGGCAGAAATATTAACTTTATTTTATTTGAGCCTGTGTGACACTGATGGAACATGTTGGTACCAGCAGAAAGATTGCACAGAGGTAGCACTTGCCCTCTGCATGTGTGTGAATTTCAGTTTGTAAACACATGTTAAATAGCTGTTTAGATGCTGAAAAGAATTGGAACCACCTTTTCTCTTACTGAACTATTTAGACCAGAGGTAACTGGCTAAGGACTTAGTCAAGTGTTTAGTTTTATATTTAGGTAGTAAAAATAATATGAATTTTTTTTTGTTTAGTATATGTTTTAATTCTTGTTAACTTAGTAAAAAAACTCTATTCTTTTAGGTGGATATTACAACACTGATAAACCATATCCTCGGGGTGAGATCCTTATTGGAGGGCAAAATGTGACTGTGGGCTACTACAAAAATGAAGCACGAACCAAAAAAGATTTCACTGTTGATGAGAATGGGCAGAGGTGGCTCCATACTGGAGACATTGGAGAGTTTCAGCAAGATGGGTGTCTAAAAATTATTGGTAAGTTAATAAATTCAGGTGAACATACCTATACACACACACACGTTTTTCAGGGCTGCTAAATACTGTAGTTACCAAAAAAAAGTCTCATTATCTTGGCATGTGGTTCTAAAACCTCCTATGTATCCTAGGGAAATGCTGATATGTTAATGTAAACTTGATTATGTGTTTTAGAAGCTGATTTTTAAACAATTGCCTCCTTTTGGAACATTCTTAACATTGACTCCATATGTTGGTGAGACTGGGTAGTAATTAGAGAGTTAAATATAGGTTAATTGAGCTGGCTAAGCTGCCATGGACTGTATAATTTAAAAGTATGGAATTTGATTCATTGAAAAGGCTCTTGTGGTAATACATGCTCAGGAATTAAATAAGCCTTTTTTAATCTTGACAGTCTTTATAATCAGAATATCCTTTTATCATATAGGAACTAGTGGAAAATATACTAAGATGAAGGTGTTGTACATAAGCCTGTGATAGGCTCGTAGTTTTTTGGCACATGCAGGTGCAAAATTAGGTGCTTTATAAACTACCAGGAGTCTTGCTTGAAGTCAGTAGGTTTAATCCTGAAAATTAAGCTTATTTGATTTATTAGAGGAGAAGAATCTTAGATCCCAGTGCAGCTGCCTTGCAGTGGTCAGATAGGTCACACTCACCTTTCCTGGTTGCACAAAGCAGCACCACAGTGAAGGAGAGGTGCCCCTGGCTGCTGCCACACCTGGGTGGGTAAGGCCTGTCGTCACCTCTGCCCTCTCTAGGCTAAGTACAATAAGCTCAAGTAATCTGAGGTTCATTTTTGGTTCCTGTTGTTGTTTTTCAAGTAACAAGTGGATAGTTGGTCTTTAAATATGGATTTAGCCTGAAATAAATAACAAAATGTCACCAAATAGTGCATCTCCTGCCTTGAGCATCTGGACCAGACAGCACAAAATGTGCGCTCCTAGCTAATACTGATTTTTGCATAGTCCTAGTTGTCTTCCATGCACATGATGGTGCTGTCATATAGGAAATATTGTTCCAAAGGCAGAAAATGTGTGGAATTGAAATGTCTCTCATTTTGATTTGGGGGACAGACTGATAAAATGCAGAGTCTAGAAACCTGCCATGAAATGTTTCTGGTCCATTCGCCAAACATGAGTCAGCTTTCCTTTTGGTATTTATACATGCATTTCAGCAAAGTGAAATCAATGTCTAAAGTTTCTGTGTTCTGTAATTAACGTTACATTCCTTTTTCCCTCAATAGATCGCAAAAAAGATCTTGTAAAACTGCAGGCAGGAGAATATGTTTCTCTTGGCAAAGTCGAGGCAGCTCTGAAGAATCTCCCCCTGGTAGATAATATTTGTGCATATGCAAGCAGGTAAGAGGCAGCTGATACTTCGTTTTTGCTCTGCTCTTTGTCCTAGTGAAGCCATAAGCAAATATTTTTGCCACTCAATGTATGGAATATTTTTAATTGGTTGAAAAAGGATTTTACGTCTAATACAATGGAATAACTTTCTCTATCAAAATGAAAACATTTGAAAACTGTTCTGATTTTCCTTTTCTCGTTCGTTTTCCTCATTTGTTGGAAAATGCCAATAATGAGTCTCTTTCATTCCCTCTTCCCCAATGTGAAGAGCAGCCAAGCTGTAACTGCATTCCTAACAGACATCACTCAAGCACTTTAGAGATTACTACCTATAGGAGCCCTAGGACACCTTGTTCCTTGTGGTGTTTATTTGTGATCTGTCCTTCAGAGGAAGTACTGTGGTACTTCAGAGGAAGGTGATGGGGGGAAAAAACCCGCAACAGCCCAGAAGCTTGCAAATTAAAAGTACTTTTCTTTAACCCCTGCAGTACACCAGCAGAAGCCTTGAAGCTTGAGGGAAAACATATTCTAAATACTATGCAAACACATAATTAATAAATGATGATCAAATGTCCTTTTATTTGCTTGCTACATGTACTAATAAATTAAGCATACAAGAGCTCCAACATGCCTAAAGTTTCTATTTCTAGAATTTCTTAGCTCTGCATAATATAGACTTACACATATAAATGTGCTTCAGTTTGTTTCCTGTTGACATTTCGATATTTGGAAAGTCATTTTGAAGCTTTTGAATGATCAGAAATATTCTGATTTCCAGTATGGCCATAGAAGCCCCAGTTTAACTTTGATAGAGGCCAGGACAGGCATACCAGAGAATTGCTCAGTGGTAATAAATGAAAAAAATTAACTTTTGGTTTGTTCACCTGGTTCTCTGTAGTCTTTGGGGGGGTTGTGTTAACTAATGGTGATCATCCTGTAACTCCAGTTTTGGATCAGTAGGCTAACGTGCATTGGGCATGCCATTGCTCATAAAATTTCCCTTTTATTAAGCTTTATTTGTGGTTTGGACCTGTTGAGTGAGTCTCATATTTGCTTGCTTTGCCTGCCTGAAGTTATGTGCCTGTTCCAAGCATCCTCTATAGTCTGTGGAGGTAGAGCTTCTTTCTGCTCTTCTAGGACTGAAGTTCACTATTGGACTTGTAGTATCAAATTTGGTGTTAATTTTGCCACATCAACATACCTAAATGCACTTGTCACACAGGAACTTGACCCCGTTAGACTCCATCATGCCTGTTACTTAAAAACCGTGCAACCTATGAGCAGTTTTTGAAGGCAATTTACAAATGAGAATCCAAGTACATTCCAGATTGTTTTTTCTGCTGGTGCTGTAGTTCTTCTTAGTACTGTCGTGTGTAATGTGGCGTAAGTAACCATGTAATGCAGGTTCCCTTAATGATTGTCCATATGCACATTTCATTGTGGGTATATGCTCACCTCAGCAGTCTGAGCTTGGAGAGTTTTGTAACGGTGCCTATGACCACTCTTAGATCCTGTCTGTCCTTATACTTTGCCTGGGTGATCTCATATGCAGGAGGAGTCCTTCGTTTGTAGCTGTTCTGTCTCCCACATGCAAAAGTACAAGGAGGGCAGACTTCTACAAATGGGTTAAATCTGCAATTTGACCTTAGATCCTGGGGGACAAAGCTCCTCTGAACATGCTAGTAGGGAATCAAAATTATTTGCATGATATTGCTGCTTCAGAAGCTGTATTGACTTCAGCCAAAAGACTCAGTGAGATAAGGAGCAAAATGCTTGCTGAAAGAAATTGTGATTAGAGCTCACTCAGAGGACACTCCTACTGCTTTATCAACACTTCACTCATCCAAGACTCATTCAGTGGGGCTCAAGCATCACCTCAGGAAAGTGAATACTTCAGTTACCTGAGGAATGAACAAACATGGCAAAAAAGCTGAGGGAGTTCTCAGCAGGAAAAACTTGACAGAATAGAAGTGATGATACCTATATGTAGTGCCACTGAATCTGTGTCTGAATATAGGTCTGAGAGCTGTATGCTGGTAGGATCTCAAGCACAGCAAGAGAATGAGGATGCCTAGTGTTGGACAGACATTTTGGCAAAATCTTTTAGCACGGTGAAGATGATTAAGGAGTTGATGAGGACCAAATTCTGAAAATTTTTTCTTCATGCTGTTGTGATGACTTTGAAGACTGATGAAGCTACCAAATGCAAAAGATCTGCAGAAGAAACAGTAGTGGAGAGGGAAGTAGCTGTTCTAGAGGGAAGATGTACTCCTCTTCAGGACACTTCTCAAGACAAAACAGTGCTTTGGCATTTGAACCGCAACAAGGGAAGATTGAACTTCGTGGTACAGAATGAAAAGATGTATATTCCAGGAGCTGTGAGCTCCAAGGTGTTCTTTCCAGGAAAAAGCATAGTTGGATGAACCTGTCTTGTCCAGAACAAGTTTGCTTCTCCTCAAAGAGGCTGAATTTTAGATGAACAGGAAGTTGGATGCTTACCCAGCCAACTGACTACTTCTGTATGCTGTTTATCCCTGGAGATGCTGGTGGTATTGCTGGACCTGACCTTGCATGTCAAAAGACTAAAGGAACCAGAGATGAAAGTGCCAAAGTCCTCTGTGTTCTGAGTGCCTTCATGCACAATACATACACATTAGAGAGCTGACCCTAAAGTTACAAGGGTTCAGTACAGAGTATAGCATGAGTGTGTGTGGGGAAAAATTGGACAGAGGCAGGACAGGGTGAGATGGAAGCAGTAGTGATACTGAGGCTAATCTGAAATCTTTCTGTGTGTTCTTAGTAAGAGGAAAAATGAGAAGGGATTCAAGTCAGCCAGCAGGCAAAACTTGTGAAGATACTGCCAGAAAAGTGTGTTTGTAATGGATTCGGGTGTAGTCTTCACAACTGCTGTCAGATGCCCATTTTAATTCACGCCAGTAACAAAGGAGAAAACTACAATGTGTAATAGCCAAAAGGGTATTTGGAGTTAGTATTTTAAAATTATCTTGGAGACCTTAAAGGATAAGCTACAGTCATCTCCATGCCAGGGTTAAGTTTCTGTATTTTGCATTAATGATCTGTCTGGTGAAAGAGTTGATTGACAAGATTCAATGAATCTGTAGAAAGTTAAGATGGGGAAAACAGCAGTCAGCTTAAAGAGGGAAATTGCAAGTTATACTTACACCTAAATAAACTGCAAAAGTCCAGGATTAGAACCCTCAGCTGGTAGCAGTTTTGTAGGGGCTGATCAACAAGTGCCATGTGGATATAAGAAGGTGAATGGCACAGCCAGTTGTGTGTATGTTCTGATTTATAAGGAAAGGACATGGCTTAAATTCCTAAGTCAACTTAGAAAAGGGAGGAGGACTAGAAAGGTGAGAAGGAAAAAAAGTTAACTGTCTGTGAATGGATAAGTGGCTTCTGTGGAAAAGAGAGGAAGGTCTGACTATTCTGATGCAAACTGCATAGGGGAAGGGTCAGGAATAGCCATCAGGAACAATTTATCGATGCCAAGAAGAATGAAACATTGGCATTAGTGCTTGCCCAGTGTGTAAGAACAGGCTAGATACACATTTGTTGGATGTATCTGGCCTTGCTTTAGGGCAAGTTAATTCATTAGGTGATCTTCTGAGATCACTTTCAGCAATCTTGATTCTGTGATCTGCTTTGGTGGAATGTGTAGAGTTTCTGCATAAGGTTCTGTTCACATTTTCCCTGAACTTTACCCCATCTGAAAAAGCCTGAATACCTGTTTCAGGGTGAATTGTGCTTCAGTGTGTTCCAAAGGCTTTGAGGTCAGAGCTTCTTACGTTCTAGGCGTATCGGGAGCAGACAAAGTTTGCCAACAGTAGAGTGAGCATATGGACAATCACTTGAAAGAGAAAGAAAAGTCACTTCCCTTACAGAAGCAGGTGTTCTTTGAGATGTGTTGTGCATATGCTCATTCCACAACCTGCTCTCCAACCCCTCTTCACTGCAGTCCTCTACTCCTCTACAGTAACTGGATTCTGCAGTTGTGAGGAAAGAGAGGAAATTGAGGTAGGGAAGCCACACACCAGTCTTCAGACCGGGATGCAAAAGCTGAGGAGAGGCAGGGAGCATTGACATCGCTTGGGCACTGCTTCCCAAAGCTTTGGGCATGAGACACAGTGGAATATGCATATGGACAGCACACCTTGAAGCAATCCAGTTACTGTAAGGTAAGTAGCTTCTCTTTCTACTTATTTCTAAGCAGGCAAAGGTAATTTGTGTCCTATTTCAGAAAGATTATCAGGTGAACAAAATCAGCTGTTAAGAGCAATATCTTGGTATGAAGCGCAAACCCCTCGATTTGAAGTGCTATTTTTTTAAATACTTGTTAACTTTACAAAATTCATACTAAAGTACCTTGTGCTTCTCAGTTTCCATTCTTATGTCATTGGATTTGTTGTGCCAAATCAAAAGGAGCTCGCAGAACTAGCTCGGAAAAAAGGATTTAAAGGAACGTGGGAAGAGATCTGTAACAGTCCTGAGATGGAAAAAGAGGTACTGAAGGTGCTAGCTGAGGCTGCCATGGCAGGTGAGTGGCTGGGCAGATGGTATCAACCTTGTGCAGTGCAGTGTCTGTGAAACAGATAAACATAGGCCCTAAAGTATTTCCTTGAGTGTGTATATTTCATAGAACCTACATGACTGAAATTTTCCTACCAAACAAAACCCCAACAACAAAACAAGAGTTGGGTGAGACCTTTAGGTTCATGAAACTTCTTTTACTGTGGCCAATAGCTGAGGAAAGAATACAAATACAGGGCAAACTTGACAAGTTCAGTTCCCTGAATATTTGTGTGTGTCTGGTGCTCTTTAAATTGTCCTTTATTTTTTGGGTTTTTTGGCCTTAGCTGCTGCTCCAAAAGGAGTGTGGGTCATCTATATATGTTGGATATCACGTAGTCTCATGTGCTCCATACCGGTGCAGAGTTGCAATAAGCCCATAGTAACAGGGGCTCTACTGGCTTCTAGTGACTTGCCTCTGAGGGATTTCCAAACCTAAAGCAGCATCTTTGTACTTAGTAGTTTTGACTAGACTTTCCTTCCATTAATTCTTGTGGTCACATTTGAAAATGACTGTGGATCCTGGTACAGAATATTTAAGTGTCTTGTAGTGTGTTTGCACGGCTCAGCCGTGTTTGGGTGAAGAAATGCCTCGTTTGTTCCAACCCTGCCACGTGCCAGCTCGGGTTGGTGCTGCTGAGCTCTGGTATGGGAGAGGCAGTGAACAGGCACAATGATGGTCATGATTCTTTCCATGTTGATTATACTTCCCCCTCAGCTGTATCTTTTTCATGCTAATTGGTCTTACTCAATTGGGCGGTTCTGGTGCAGAATCAAACAGTGGCACAATGATATTTTGTTTATGCTTCATAGTAATTTCTGCCATGCTTTTTGCTTTTGGCCATTACTAAGCACTGAGCTTTTTTCATAACGCTGTCAGCTGTGGCCACAGAATGGTTTTTGTAAATGGCCAGTGGGGACATACAAGATTTTCATACACATTTTCTTTGACATTCTCCAGCAATGAATGTTTTCTGCTGTTTTGCAGTCACTCAGTATCACAATGTCCTTCTGCAGCTCTTTGTAATTTGTCCTCATCTTTTCTACCCTTGATAACTTTGTGCTTCCAACAATATTTCCTTGTTAACCTTCATCTCTCCTCCATATTACTTGTGAATTTATTAAACTTTGAGCCTGTTTTCCAACTTTTGTACCAGAAGCATCCTCTGCTGAGTGCAGGCTCAGCACTGCAGGAGTCTTTTCCTCTTGCCCCATGTCTCTAATCCATTTTTCTTCACTGCATGGAGCATGTGGGCAAAGTGATTCTAAGAAGTTGCTGTGATGGAGAGCATGTATAAAGTTGCTTTTCTTTTTTTGTGCAGCGCAAACTATTCTAAAGAAAATTAAGTATGTTGTAAAAATTGATGAAAAGGAGTATTTGCTTTAATCCTGAGGCTTTTTTTTTTTTTTTGCACATGATGTTATTTTATATTTGGTTTTCACTTTGGTATCACAGGCTTTACTTTTAAAGTAATACTGTGATTTTTAGTGCTAAATTGCAAAAAAATTAAAAACCTAAACTCAGTAATCTAATGCCAAAGGGTGTAAAAAAGAGCAGGAAAATCTAAGTATGGCAGGTTGCACAGAATAACTATACATTTGTGTTTATTTTTGAAATTTAATCTGAAACTAGATTTATTTATTTCTTTTATTATTAGCCTTCTCTTGGCTACTCTTCTTAGTTACCTGTTTTTATTGTTTTATATCTGAAACCAGAGCAGGTGGTGTTGGAAATGAGTGTTTTGTGCTACAGGTGTGATGTGCAGAGCACTATTGTGTTTCAGTACAGGGACTAGCTACCATGGGAACTTAAATTTCCTTCATCAGTTTGTGACTGTCAGGAAAACACCCCCCCCCCTATTTTTCAAGTAAGGCTTCTAAGACTTTGTCTCCAGAAGATGAGCACCATA